GCGGGGGCCGGCGGCCGTCGCTGGCGGCCCGGCCCGCCATGAGCAGAGCGCAGCTGACGCGGACGGGGATCCTGCGGATGGCGCTGGGCGGCGGCGCTGACCCGCTGCTGCCGGCGGAGGGCGGCGGGGGCCGGCAGGCGCCCTTCCTGCTGCGGGCGCTGCGCATCGCCGTGGTGGTCTGCCTCTACTGGTTCACCTCCATCGCCATGGTCTTCCTCAACAAGTACCTGCTGGACAGCCCCTCGCTGCGCCTCGACGCGCCGCTCTTCGTCACCTTCTTCCAGTGCGCCCTCACGGCCGCGCTCTGCCTGGGCCTCAGCCTGGGGGCGGCCTGCGGGCCCCCCTGCGCCGGCCTGCCCGCCCTCCGCCTCGACCCCAAGGTGTCCCGCAGCGTCCTGCCCCTCTCCGCCGTCTTCATCGGCATGGTCACCTCCAACAACCTCTGCCTCAAGCATGTCGGCGTGGCCTTCTACAACGTGGGGCGCTCCCTCACCACCGTGTTCAACGTGCTGCTCTCCTACCTCCTCCTCAAGCAGACCACCTCCCTCTATGCCCTTCTGGCCTGCGGAGTCATCATAGGTGAGGGGGAGCAGGCAGGGCTGCTCCCACCCGACAGCCAGCCCCGGAGAGACGGTGGTGGGATGTCTTTCCCTTGGGAAGTCATCCCCACCTGCATGGCAGCTCCCGGGTGAGGTGGGGTAGCTCAGGGCTCGTGCCTTGCTCTGTCTATGGCAACCAAATTTGTATGGCTGGAGGATGTAGGTGACTCATTAAGAGAAAAAATTGCTCTCATTTGACACAGCTCCCTTTTTCCTTTGAGCACTAAAACTTCTCTAATGAAGTTTGACTTGCCTTACCTTTTACTTTCTTCCCCCTTTACAGGCCGTAAAATAGCAGGTGGCTTTCTCCCTGTTCCCAAGTTCTTGTTGATTATTAACTTTGGTAACAATAACATTTATGTCAGCACCACTGGGACCATACAATAGAGTCAGCCAATTGGTTTTTACAATAGGCTGAATGCATGTGATAAAGGGTTAGCTGATCAAGCCAAGCATAAAACACCACCAGAAGATCTGGGCGTGTGGTTAGGATGTAGGGCAAGGCATTGAGTGGCTTAACAGGAATGCTTATAACTCATCCATTCCAAAGGCAAAATAATCCCAAAAGCGACCTTCCACTGAAGGGCCATTTAGATGCCAAGAATGGTGAGCTGTTCATTTCGGTCTGGTTCCAGGTGTGCATGCGTTCACTTAGTGTTCGACAGCCGGATGGAATCAGATGAAAACATCTCATCTGCAGAGAAGAGCTGAACAGGAACAGAGCTACTGTCTTTTCTACAAGTGATGCAAGCAATTGCCTTCAGCTAATCTTTTGTTCAGGCACTGCCCAGGAGTGTGGTGCCTGGCAGCCCGACAGGGTTTCTCTGAGGTTAAGACTCTGTCCTCCTGGCTGCATCTCCTTTTGCTGTGAGAGCATTGCCTGTGTGCTATAGCAGCATAGCTGAGCGTCCTCTGTGGCTGACCCAAAGCCCCTCCTGTCGGTGCATGGAGCCCATTTGTATCTGGGCTTAGTTTCAAGCCTCTTAGGTGCTTTGCAGGCAACTTCCCAGACAGCCTCCAACAAGAAGCAGCTAATGAAAATGTGGTGCAGTGCTCCTTCAGTAGCTCATCTCCCTTTTATGTTTTGCTTATGAGCTGGATGGGGAGAGGTCTCCCTCTCTGCCCTGGAGATGCAAAGCCTGTAGCTCCTGTTTTGGAGGTGGTTAGACAGTGCTTTGCCCATCAAAGTTTAACATGAAGGTACTGCACACAGTTGCTGCCTTTTGATTTTTTTTTTAATCATACTTAATATAGCATCCATGTTTTTACTATCTTTCCATCTTCTTCTCTGACTTATATTTTCCTTCCTGTTAACAGCAGAGAAAAGTCTATAAAGTTTGGTTTTTTCAGACTTTGAAGAATATACTTTCTACCTATATGTCAATTTTCAGCCTTTTCAATTAAAAACAAAATGGTCTCCTGAAAATTACCTATATGCAAAGACTAGCTGGAATAGTAGTTTCTGAACTGCTGCCTGCTCAGTGTGGAAATTAGTCCTCTGAGTTTGAATTACCTGAACAGTAAATTTAGTAAATTTCCTGCACTCCCAAAATAAGTCTTCCCAATGAAGGCATTTTGTGGGTTCACATAATAGAAGGGGGAAGCTCTTAAGCCTGTCTCTGTTGTTGTTCACTATAAAGTAAATTATGAATTCTTGACTGTATTGAGCCTTTCAGCAGTTGCTCAGATGATGCCTGATTTGTTTGGTTGCAGGTGGCTTCTGGCTGGGTGTTGACCAGGAAGGAGCAGAGGGTACTCTGTCATGGACAGGTATATTCTTTGGGATCTTAGCAAGCCTTTGTGTCTCTCTCAATGCCATCTACACCAAGAAGGTGCTGCCTGTGGTGGATGGTAGCATCTGGCGCCTGACCTTCTACAACAACATCAACGCTTGCGTCCTGTTCTTCCCCCTCATGGTGCTGCTGGGCGAGTTCCGCACCCTCTACCACTTTGACAAGCTGGGGAGCCCCGGTTTTTGGGGCATGATGACCTTGGGGGGAGTGTTTGGCTTTGCCATTGGGTACGTGACTGGACTTCAGATTAAGTTCACTAGCCCACTCACCCACAATGTGTCTGGGACAGCCAAGGCCTGTGCACAAACAGTGCTGGCTGTTATCTACTTTGAGGAGACAAAGAGCTTCTTGTGGTGGACGAGTAACTTGATGGTTCTGGGGGGCTCCTTTGCCTACACGTGGGTGAAAGGACTGGAAATGAGAAAGGTGCAAGAGGATCCTAATGTTAAAAGTGGTGAAAGAAATGAGACTGGTGTGTAGGTGGCTCCTGCACCTCTATATTTGGGACTGGACGGATAACCTTTGGTGCTCCTTTCCTCCTGGGGAGAAGAAGAGCAAGGAGCAGGAAAAAATGCACCTGCAAAGTGTATGGGGAACTGTGTCAGGAACCAGAGCCAAAGACCTGACTGGATGATGTTTTATCTCACCCTGTTGTCAGAGATGGGGAGAGCATGTGTTGTGGAGATCAACTGGGTTGGGTTTTTTTTGTGATTGTTTTTTAAAATGGATGTTGTTATTTACCTAATCTGGGAAATTTGCATCTTGTTGGGGGTGGGGGGGGGTGGTGATGTGGGCTCCTATCAGACACAGACTGGAATGGGAGCTTTGTGTAGTTAGGGATCTAAAATTAACTGAATGAATGCAATCTGGAGTTATAAAATCCTGAACCTGCAGGTAAGGAAGAGGCAGGTAGCCAGACTGTCTGCGTTAGAATTCAGTAAACTGTTTTGCTGTATAAGGTTTTTGCAACAGCTGTTCTTCCTGTTGCCCCATTCAGTGCAGACGATGGAAATTCTCTCCCTTCTGGCTATGTACAAGTCTAAGCAACAGCAGTGCCACCAAAACACCTTTCCAAAGAGTATCACATCCTTCTGAGGTTTTTTCCTGTGTTGCTTTATAACTGGTTTCTCAATTTGAGGAAGCATGGTAAGAGTCAGGAATTAAACTTCTCATTCTCTCGGCACTGTATGCAGTGAGGAGAGCATGCTCGCTCCTGTGGCCTTTCTCAGGGAGGAGGGAGCTTGGCCTCTGTGTGACAACCCGGTGACACGCAGGAGCGGAGAAGTGACTCTGAAACACTTTGCTGTAGGGTGGGGATCCCAGTTCACCAAGGGTTTGCAACACTTCTCCTTACCCTCTTTGTAGGGGTAGGTTTGTATTGAAAATGGGGTTGTTACCCATTCCCTTGTTTCAGGGGGCTTCTTCCATGTTTACTTTGTAGCTCCTCTGTGAATCCTTCAATGCGATGAGTTTCGCTCAACTGTATCAATTCCTTTGCTTGGAACTTGCTGCTGAACAGATCTGCAGAAATCTCTGCCCAGCCCACCCCACAGCCCCAGTCTGGATCTATGCAATAGAGTGTGTCTGTGCTGTTTTCTGACTCCTGGGGTGAGCAGCAACAGACGTCCTGTGGTGAGCTGTGATGTTGCACCAGCTCTCTGAATCCCTGGCCCTTTTAATCACGAAGTTACCCTGATAGCGATCCTGGGCCGGCCATGCCATTGCCTCATACCCTGCTCCATGGATCCTGCATGATGTACCATGTCCCGTGAGTGATGTCTGACCACACCTACCGAAGAACACTCCATTTCTGCCCAAAATATGTTCCTGTTGAATTTGGGGGGTGGTGGGAGGGGCTCCTGCTCTAGGGCTCATAGCCACAGGTACCTTTTCGATGCAGGCAGCCATTTGGGGTCTTTGAGCATATTTTGTTTTTTCCTTTTTTATTGGAATGGAGATTTTTAACGTTGACCAGCCCTGCTGACTAAATTCGACTAGATTCGGGGTCTCTCTCTGGGGGTGCCAGCGACGTTTCCGGGGCGGTTTCGGGCGACGCCGCCCCGCAGGCGGCAGCTGCGGCCTCGGCCGCTGGGGGGCAGCACAGCGCCCCCGCCCGCCCCGCCCCGCCGCGCGGGGCGGGGACCGCGGCTCGGGCGGCGGCGATGGCGGCGGCGGCCGCGCTGGGCCCGGCGCCGGCCCTGTGCCGCTCCGTGCACTGGTTCCGCCGCGGGCTGCGGCTCCACGACAACCCGGCGCTGCAGGAAGCGCTGCGGGACGCCACGTCCCTCCGCTGCATCTATATCCTGGACCCCTGGTTCGCCGCCTCCTCCGCCGTGGGCATCAACCGCTGGCGGTGAGTGGCGCCGGGCCTGCGGGCCGCGGGTGGGACCGCGCGGGACGAGGCTCCCGCGGCACCGGAGCGCTCTGGGCGCCGTGTGGGCCGTGTCCGTGGGGCCGCAGCAGCGCACGCGTCCCTGTCGAGCCCACTCACTGCTCCCCCCGGCCCTCCTGCCGGAGAGAGGCTGTGCCTTGTCCGCTCGGCCTCGCCGCGGTTCTGTGAGCCGTGCTGCCTGACTGTGTGGGAGGATGCCTTCGATTTTATGTAATGTCATTAGACTTTATCAGTGCGGCGAGTGTATGAGAGCAGCAACCGATGGACACTTAGCTTTGGGAAACCCTTTTCTTTGAATTTAGAGACGAGGGCAAAGCATTCTCAGCTTCGTGGGTGGACCACGCCTCCCCTGTGCCCTTGGGCTGCCGGGCGCGTAGGCATGTGCGCACGCAGCTCCGTTCCGCCCATCGCTCGGATTTTTTAGCGAAATACACATCGGCTGCTGCTGAGAAACTAGAGGTGAAACTGAATGGGCTTTTCCTCATCTCCGCAAACGGAAAAGTGTAGAGCATGAGTCTCGTCTGTGCAAAGATCAAGACCTCATGTGCCTGTAGCCAGTAACATTACATAATGCTGTTGTGTCAGGTCTCAGCAGCCTAAACATTTAGAACCCCAGTCCAGATAGGGATGCTCCTGGGCAAGACTCCCCTGCATACAAGTGAAGTAGATCTCCCACTGCCCCCTCAGAGGAAGTCGACAGACAAGCACCTGGCTAAAGATGCTTTGCGAGCTCTTGGGAATGTCACGGGGCTGTGCACTAGGGAAACTGTAGCTGTAATTGATTGCTTCTGCTGTGCACCTTAGCTTCATTTCAAGGAATGGGGTTGTATGGGTCATATCTGTATGTTTCTAGAATCCCACAGCAGAGGATGGCTTAAAAATTGTAAATGTGCAGAAGTTACCTCAGCGTAGTCATTCAAAGTGCAGAAAATTGTGAATTCTGTTATAGGGATCTGAATTGGTCTTGCCATAGACCAGACTTTCTGCAGACAGCAGCAAACAGAAATGCCTTTCACGTGCTGCTGTTGCTGGCTGTCCTCATTTGGAAGAACCAAAGTGGTGGCACAACAGATTAATTCCTGATCTGTTAAATCCTTGTTTGTGTCCACCAACGTTGTGAAGGGAGGGAAACCGTTATCGTGTTGAAAGACCCTTGTTATTTAACTGCCCAGCATTTGTGAGCCATATAGGATGAACGCTTGTTAAAATTTTTAGAACACCTCAGACAGTTGATGTTTGTACTTAACAAATGGAAAGTGGGCTGGGCCTCAGGGAGTGGTTTGTTTAGGTTACCTGGATCTAGTTCTGGGTGTTCTCCTTCGTGACAGTGTGCACGTCTTTCTGTGAACCTGCGCCCTTTTCTCCCTCCAGAAGTGCAGAGCCAACTTGTTCTGTCTGGAAGCTCACAGTTCCATTATGGGCGGTGCAGCTGAGGAAAGAGAAGTTGCCACTTTGCAGTGCAGTTGTAGTAGCTTGGCTTTCCTTGGCTGCGAGGGGTCTTTATGGAGCTGAGGCAGTTCTGGCAGATCCCACTGCAAAGTGGGCATGGAGGACAGAGGGAAGGGTAAGGGCTGGCAGGCTCACTTACAAAGGATTGTGTGTTTGCCAGCAGTGCCAGGTGCTGAGGGGACACTAAAGTTTTAAAGCTGGTGTCTTTTGCAGAGTTAAATAAAACAAAGTGAAGTTACTATGTAGATGGGGTGATGTGTGACTGGGAAAGCAAATATTACACATTTGGTGGTTTACAGCTTGGTGGGGATCAGTAAGACATACCATTAAATGCAGAAAGCACTTACGTGGCTTTTTAGAGTTTTGGGGTGAGAGGGAATAGAAGAATGTGTTGGTATGCTCTCATCTCTGTGCCTTCATGGTGCAAGGTGAATTGCAGTTCTCTTTGCAGTTATTCAAAGTACAGATGATTCTTGCTTCAGGAGATCTTGGTGCTCAGTCTTGTGCTACTGATGATCTAGGAGAGTACATTTCTTTGCTGTGACATGGTGTATTTATAGCTAGAACTGCAAAACCTGCACAGTTCTTGCAGTATTTCATTAATTTCCCCTGGAGTAATGCATCAAAATTTTTTCTGCTTTTTATCCAAAATCCCTTTTTGCCCCAAAACCTGTGAAAAAATGTACAGTAGGAAATTATGTGGTTTGTGCTTTCTCCATGTAATGTGGAGAGAAGAAGTGACAAGGGTGTTCTCCCACCTCTGAGGGAGAATGTGGGAAGTAGGTTGCAGTAGGAAGAACATCCTGGAAGCCTCTTAGATCTGGACAAGCACAAATGCATATGAGTGAATGGGAGCTGGCTGGTGCTACAATCTCATAAAAGTTGTTGGACAGAGCAGAGGTAAATATGAGTTCTTGTTTTCTGGTTCTTGTCCAAACTTCCAGTTTCATTTGGTGATGCAGGTTTGCTGGAGGTCCATGCAAATTCTCATTTGCCTTTTAGCTCTAACCCATCTGACTGACACTAACTGCTGTTGTTTCTTCTCTGCAGATTTCTTCTCCAGTCCCTGGAAGATCTGGACAACAGTTTAAGGAAACTGAACTCTCGCTTGTTTGTCGTGCGAGGGCAGCCAACAGATGTCTTCCCAAGACTCTTTAAAGTAAGAGAATAATTTTTTGGAGCGTAATGAAGAAAAATTGTGACCTGGTGCTAAACCCGCTTTCACTCCCTAATAATTGGTGACTCTCTCAGCATCTCTGTAACTATAACTAGTTCTTCATTATAAAAAACTTTCCTCCTTAACTACAACTAACTAACTACTATCTATAAGGACCAGCTTGGGAGCCAGATCTGCACCTCAACTCAGACTTGCAAAGAAATGTATTTGTAGGGTGTAACCTACTATCAGGGTGCTCAAGCTTCTCTTTTTGGATGGTGGTCTTGAACTTTGTTTCTGTAAGTCACATCTCACAGGGCTGCACTGTGACACACAGACCCTTCTTTGTGGAGAGCTTCTGGCAATTTTCTTATTGCAGTTTTTACTTAGGAAGACTTCTGTGTCCATAGACCTTTACAGACAGCAGAAGAAAGTACTGATCTGTATGTGAATTGCAAGTGGGATTTTGTGTTAAAATTTCAAATTTCAGGCACTTTTATGTTAGCTGACCTTCCTTTTCTTTTTCTGTTCAAGACTGCAGTTTAGTCACCTCAGCAGCAGGATATAGCTTGGGTCCAAGTTTCCTGCTGATGTACTGTTTAGGACATGGAATATGCAGTTATCTTGGTGATCAATAATGGATTAGTGGGGTATGTTTCCAATATGATATGTCACTGCTGCAGATGTCAGGGCTAAGAAGAGCATCTCCTTGAATATCAGGGCTTTTCTTACAGTGTCATTCTTCTCCATCCTGCTCTAAGATTGTGTTTCCCAGTGTTTTTGAAGCTTTTTGACAATGTCTTTGATGGTGTTACAAAACAAAAAAACATGGCTCTTAATAGTCGTATGAGCTGGGGGTGTTATGTGGGCTGTGCTTTACATATGGTTGACAGAACTAGTGTCCCCCAAATCCTACTATAGACCAGCTGCCAGAGAAGGAGAGGTGAACTTGAATATGTACCCTCCTTCTGGAAATGGTTCTGATATGTATTTCCTGGAGGAGCGCAGTTAGTACTGAGGAGGAACTGAACTGTGCAGATGAGAAGGGGCACTGATACTTATTTTGGCTTCTGCATCTTAACACATGACACAAACTATGTGCTGCTTCTAGCCTTTTCAGAGTCTGGATTATTTTTATCTTTTGATCTGCAAGTAAGTTCCAGCTAATAGTAGTTCA